CTCTGGACTCTCTCAAGCTTCTCCACAGCCTTTTTAAATTGTGGAGTCCAAAACTGGATGCAGTACTCCAGCTGCGGCCTCATCAAGGCCGAGTACAATGGGAGAATGACATCCCAGGATGGGAGAATGACATCCCAGGATTTGCTTGAGAAGCAGCTATGGATGCAAGCTTGCTTAACTAGCTGCAGCATCACATTGATGGCTCATGTTCAATCATGACCCCCAAATCCCTTTCATCCATAATGCTAGCCAGCATAGCACTGCCGAGACTATAAGCATGCTGTGGGTTTTTCTTCCCCAGGTGGGCCACCTTGAATTTTTCAGTGTTAAACACCATCAGGTTCTCATCTGCCCATTTCCTGAGCCTGTCAAGGTCAGCCTGGATCACCCGCCTGTCCTCAGGTGTGGATGCTTTACCCTAAAGTTTGGTGTCATCAGCAAATTTGGCCAGTCCACTTCTATTAACCTTATTGAGTCATAGAAGGACAGAGCGTGCCATTCCTTTTATCTTGAATGTTATTAGTTTCAGTATCTGCTGCAGTTCATTTTTTGGCATGTGAGGACCTGCATTTCAAAGCTGCTATTTTGGTTCATTTTCCCTTTTCTTGTATGTAAGATCTAAGGGTGAAAAATTAGTGAAAAGGTTTCTTACTTGTTCAGGCAGTTTTCATAATTGAATGTTGCCTTAAAGCCATAGATGGAGAAAGTCACAATACTGGCAAATATTGATGTGGAGCTGTTAATCAAAGAGACAATTATGGCATGTCTCTCACAATTGTTGTTTGGCTCATTGTAGCTGGCGAAAGCTATCAGGCTTCCAAAACCAAGACCAAGTGAGAAAAAAATCTGAGTAGCTGCATTAATCCAGGCCTTTGGGTTTGCTAGTTGCTCTAACTGTAAAACAAAAGAGTGAGAACTGTCTGATTAACACAGAAGTGGCCTTGTGCTCATTTGTGGTCCATCCAATGCTCTCTCACTGTAATATCTAAGGCAAGGAGTAACATCTAAGCATCAAGTAGGGAGGAATCTGGCTTATGTACTTGATTTTGCTTTCCACCATTTATTCTTGCAGCTTTTATTAAAATTAATTTAAGTTTAACCTGTTGAAGTATGGAGGGATTTGGTTATGTGTATGGAGGCATCTCCAAGGTTGAATGTTTCAAGGATAAATAAAATGGGTTATTTTTATGCAAGGCCAATTCTTTGTTGGAGTAGATGGGTTAAATACCTGATTTTAAATGGAAGCATGCCCATCTACACTAGCAGATAGAATTTGGCCTATAAAATGTTCAACAGTGTTTGAGATCTTGGGGTGAAATATAATCTTTTTTATAAACCAAGGGATTAGGTTGAAATTTATGCCATATATAAACATATGCCCTGTATGGCAGGAGATTAAGCCTTGTTCATTTGTTATGTAACTCTGCTGAATTCAGGAATTAATTTTGTTCAGTGGTACTACTCACTTTATGAATGTAATACACCTTAAGTGTGATGCTTCTTTCTCTGGATGAAGAAACTAAAAACACAAGAGTGATGTGTACCAGTGTATTCTCAGGAGTCTAGGTTAGTGTTTCTCAACGAAGGTGATGCAAAATATTAGCACTGTTAGGGGTGTAAATACCTACAAGCTTCACAAGATAAACCCAGATATTTCAAATAGGAAATCATAGAGTCAGACATTTTGAATTGTGGTCTTTTTGATTTTTTTTGCAACAGAAGAATTGTTCTTTTTTTTCCATAGGAAAAACACAAGTGAAAGTTAAGAGCCAGCATTTTCTGAGAGGTGCCTTGAGTCTAAAAAGGTCAAGAACCACTGGTTTAGATGCATGTAATATGAGCCCCAAATTACTATTATGAAGATGTTATGGAAAACAAAAAAGTTATATAAGAAACAATGCAGATATAACCACAGAATTTTGTTAAGATTTCAATGTATATTTTTGTACCTTTGGTGTAAACATATAAACCAGTCCATTCACAGCTCCATGTAGTGTTAGTGCTTTAATTAAGTAGATGAGGAGGACAAGATATGGCAAAGAAGCTGTTAGGTAAACAACCTGAAAAAAAAAAAAGGTAAATTAATTAGAAAGCTGAGATACATGGCTATCTCTCTGCCAGGACCATTTCTTGTAAAACTGAAAACATTACTAATGTAGCTACAGACAAAGTGAAATTGCACGAGACTATATCAATCCTCATCCTCCAGGGCTTAAAAGGATTAGGAGCAGGGGTCAGGAAGAAATTTCTATTCTGGAACAGCATTGCAGCACTAGATGTTAAGTATCAGACCATAACTTGACCACGGGAATATGGCCTAATCTGGTCATTTTATTATATATGCTTTTGGGGTTTTTGTTCTTTTTTCCTGTATAAAACAGTAGTAAAGTCCTATTTGCTATCTTATATCTAAATGAGTGCTTTCAGGTCAAATGTGGCTTCACAAAAAATGAGCTTTTATTTAATATCCTTGGTATTATTTTCACAATTTTAATTTTTGTAATTATACAGGAGTTTAAAACAACATTTTAAAGCAACAACAGTAGCAAATTTTTCCTGCAGTATTTGCAACCTAAACTTTTGCTAGATTAACTAAACAAAACTAAAATTAATCAAGTTTCACGCCTGTTCTGAGAGAAGTCTGACAAATATAAAACAAATGCTGCTTCAGCAAAAAGCAAATTAAATTTTTCCAAGCTCGTATTGATAGCTTATTTCTAACTGAGGCAAGGAAATCTTTTTTACAGGCAGTCCTCAACTTACAACTTTGTGGTACAACATTTCACATTTACGGTGTTTATAAATTGACACCGTTTCAATTTTCTGACTTCAGTTTCAACTTTACAATGCCTAATCTGATACCATACCACTTTACAATGTTTAATCTGATGCCACACCACGCCACCGAACAAGTTCACTGCGTTGCCCATCTCCTTAGAAATCATCTGTCCAAACTTCTTTGGACGCTTTCTTTAAGAAAGCAGACAACACCCCAGAAAAACCTGCAGCCAAGACTCCTGAGAAGACTCCAGCCAAGAGCCCTTCAAAAAGTCCAGCAAAATCACCTATTTTTTTGGAAGTCCTTCCAAATAAATATGATTGCTATTTACAGTATAAATACATTAATGTAGCTATACCAATTACTCATCTATAATTGACTGAGTACAAAATTCTGGGTTATTTTTGGTGAAAATAGAGTATTGGGCCTTGGTTCAGGAACCAATCCCCCACTTATAACATTGTTTTCAATGGGAAAATTGGTTCAGAGTTACAACATTTCAACTTAAGATGTGGTTTCAGGAACCAATTGTGTCCGAGGACTGCCTGTATATCCTTTCTGTTACCTTTTAATAGGCCATGAGTCAAGCTGTGTCTTTTAACCTAATGCTAACATACTTTAAATTAGGCTTGTCCAACATATGGCCCGCCAAGACATTTTCTGAGGCCCGTGGTGCTGCGATGGGAAACAAAAGTAAACACTGTTTACTTTCATTCCAACCCCTTGTCCCTCCCCCAGCTTCCTAATGGCTGCCGAAGGGCTGGGGAAGGGACAAGGTTCCCACATGTAACGCGTCAGCTTGACGTTGCCGCTGCGGTGCATGTTGGAAGAGGAGTAGCCATGTGCCTCTCGGGACAGGATGAGCCCAGCTGGAGCAGCAGGGGCTGAGCTGCACTTTCCCCCTACCTGCGCCGGTCAGTCCCGAGTGGCACACAGCGCTGCTGCTGCCTCTGCTGGCTGATGCCGACCCGGGCGGGTCTGTCCCATCCAGGTCAGCACCGGCCAGGAAAAGCGGCATGCAGCTGAAGCTGGCTTCCCACGAGCTGCTGGGGATGGGAGGAGCCCGGCCGGGTCTGCTCCAGCCAGCAGAAGTGGTGGTGGAGCCATGTGCCGCTCAGGACAGGACGGGATGAGCCCAGCCGGAGCGGCAGGGGCTGAGCTGCATTTTCCCCCTGCTTGCATCGATCACACCCGAGCGACACACGGCTCCACCGCCACTTCTGCTGGCTGGTGCAGACCTGGCCGGCCTCCTCCTGTCCCCAGTAGCACGTGGGAAGCCAGCTTCAGCTGCATGCTGCTGCAGATGGGACAGACCCGCCCGGGTCAGCACCAGTCAGCAGAAGTGGTGGCGGAGCTGTGTGCTGCTCAGGACTGACCGGCGCAGGTAGGGGAAAGTGCAGCTGAGTCCCTGCTGCTCCAGCTGGGCTCATCCTGAGGGTTCATTTCATGTTTGTAAAATGCTTGGAGAGCCCCACATAGATGCACTGCATAGAAATGCAAAATATATTTTGACTTATTTGGTTGGCACCTTGGGCTGAGACTTTCCAAGCTGAGTCAAAAGACCAACTTCTATTAAAATGGAAGGGATTTAGAGACCTCCAAATCTTTTATGACAACTTTGTAACATGCCCATCTACCCTTTTTTGCAAATCTCAGCCATAGTTTGGAAGCTCAGCCAAAGAACATAAGAGCTTCTGAACATAAGAGCATAAAAAGTGCCATGCTTGGTCAGCCCCATGGTCCATCTAGCTCAGTATCCTGTCCCAAACAGTGGCACGGGTGGATGCTATAGAGGGAGAGTTTTGAACTGGTTAGACCCACTTCCTGCAACTTCATTGGTGTCAAAGGTCACGTGACATCACTTCCTGATGTGATACCACTTCCTGTGAGGTCTCTGAATATGGTTCGTGGGCCCACTGAGTGATAAAAAGTTCATGATCTGGCTTCACATTCAAAAAGGTTGGGCACCCCTGCTTTAAATGGAAACAAACCAAAAAAGATGATCTAATTGATTTGTCTCTGGATTTATTCACATGGTTATTCCAAAATTGATATATAAATGCTACTATAGAAAAAATAAGATAGCCCAGTCTAACTTAGTTCACCCAAGGAAGTGCTCTACAAAGACCAGGCTAGCCCATGAGTGATGTAACCAAACATCTGTATACTTTTGGAGTGCAGCCCGGGGGCCAGGAAAGTCCAGCTGCTGGCCCCCACCCTGGGACTGTGCTTTTCCTACCCTTCCTCCCCCACTCCCACTCTGTCCAGGCCATTTTTAGCCCTCTGGCCTACCCAAACGAACAGTCCCAACAACCCCCTGTATGACACACTAGCTCCCTTCCCCACCCCAATGAACATGCGTACAAGTGGGACCTGATCTATAATCACATGACTTAAAGTAAGTCACATGACCATAGATTGGGTCCTGGGAATGTCTGTACGTGCCCTAAAGATCTGAGGAAGTTTACAGAGTGAAAGCTTCTGGAAGAGATACACACTACACTCTGGAGCATGGACTGCCTCTTTGTGTTTGTACTGAAGCCCCAATTTGCCACAGCGAAGCCCCAATATGCTTGAAGCCTCTAGCTGTCTCTGTAATGTCAGTCATACTTAATAGTCCAGGCTGGGAGTGAACCTTTCTTTGCCCATACCACTAGGGCCTGCGGTACTGATTCACTGGAAATTTGAATGGCTGCAAGGAAAGTTAATTCATGCCTTAGAGCCAGATTGTACAGCCCTTCTTTATCCTGATAAGTACCCACTCTTACGAGTTGCACTATTGAGATCAAATGAGACCTTCCATGTCCACATTCATCAGCACAAAGAATGATTCTACATTTTGTCCATTAGCTTTCTGTTTCTCAAACTCAGTATAGCTCCAAACCAGGAATTGAGCTTACAGGCTGAGAGTTATTACAGAGCACCTTCCACTGCAGTTGACATGAACAGGAATTGTGCAGCCTTACATACCTCTTGGAGTCAGACCCTGTGTGTCTTCACTCCTGTTCCCATTTAAAATCAGTGGCAAAACTCCCAGTAGTTCAGGATTATGCCCTGACTGTCTCCATATTGTAGTATTTGATAAAAGCCTCAATTTCAAAGATACCCAAAACCTTTAGAAGATTTTTTATTTCTGATAAGCAGCTGTGGACTTCTCAATGCTATGCTGGGATGTAACTGGCCTCCCATTAACTGAGCGTGTCAGTTAACCAGCAGTCAGGCATTTAGGTCTGTCCTGCTTTTTGTCGGTGTGCCTTTGTCTCTTTCCCCTTTACTAGTAGCTTTTCCAGTAGAAATTTATTGTACTATAAAATAATTACATTTGGTTAGATATTAGGAAAAACTTCCTCTCTAGTTGGGTAGTAAAACACTGGAAAAAGCTACCCAGAGAAGTTGTGGAATCTCCATTCTTGGAAGTTTTTAAGACCCAGTGAAACAAAGCCTTGGCTAGGATTATATAGTTGGGGATGCTCCTGCTTTGAGCAGGGGGTTGGACTAGACTTCCTGAAGTCTCTTCCAACCCTAATTTTCTATGATTAGCTTCAAATTAGTTATCTGATAGTCCTTTGCCCACTATATAATTTCACTATTTTTTGTCTAATTAAAACATACACTCAGCTTCTTCTAAATTCAGATAATATATCATTTTCATAGTCACAGAAAACTGACAGAGTAGGCTGTGTACTTAATGTCTTCCTCAATGTGCCAACTTGAGCAAGCTTAATAGGCTGGCTGTATTTTAGTCTGTTGGGTGCCTATGTGCTTTTCGAATGTGATTTGCCAACATAAACCTAGTCTTTCTTCTTCAGACAGGTTCAGAACTTTTGATATTGTCTCATTTTAAATGAGGGGGAAAGGTCCTAGGATACCTTTTCGTAAATTCAGAGATTAACACCTTCACCAAAAGATAGCACCTCTACCAAGAGTTCTGATTGCTTTTGCCCGTAGACCAACAGCCTGTATCCCTGAAACATGGGGAATAAGAAATTAGCCATTTTGAAATGAAACTTCATAATTTAGAAAAAGGAGGCAAAATTCGACACCTTGAAACCTGAAAGCTGACCCCCCTCCTCCAGCCTTTTGTTTCACGCCAAATTTGCTTGCTCACAGAGCAGCTTTAACACAAGAGAAATTCCTTGCTCAGCAGAGGCTTCCATCACCAATCCTGCGAAATATGAAATGTCATAACAAGAAAGGAGCATAATTCAATGTTCTCCTTCCCATCAGACAGCTTCGAGGTATACAGATGGCTCCAACTTTTACCTGAGCCTAATCACATAAAATGAACTTTTCTAACCAGGAGATCTTATCTTATACTACCTTTCAGCTTTCCTGAGAAATAGGAATTTTCATGGGAGAAATTTTACAATCTTTGCACTCTCCTATGGCTAAAGAAGGGCATGTGTGCTTGAAAGCTTGTAAATAATGATTTTTTTTTTGCAACTATTGGTATAATAGAAGATATCACCTCTACCAAGAATTCTGATTGCAGATTAACATCAGACATATTTCTTTCCCATGTGCAGTGCAGCCCTGTTGTTGTAAGTTGATGCACCTCCAAGTTCTCCTTAGGAAATCCATCATCGCAGTGTCATTCCAAGGGGCCCTGGATTATTCTCCCGTGTGCAGCATCAGAACTGCCACACTGGCTTAGATGGTGCCAGGACCAGTTACTTCAGAAGACGGTGCCATAAGAAGTCATAATCAACATAACCCGTATGGAAAGCTTTTTCCTTACCTCTCCTCCATTAGAGCAATGATTCTCAACCAGGGAGGCGTGGCACCCTAAGATCCCTTTAGGGGTGCCAGGGTGTGTCACATAATATTAGCACTGTTAGGTGTGCAAACACTTACCTACACAGTACACACGATTCAGAGATTTCAAATAGGAATCCATAGTGTCACAAACATCTTGACTTACTGTGGTGTTTCTGACTTCTTTACAGCAGCAGAGTTGCTTTGTTATTTTTCCATAGTCAAAAAATGAATGAAACCTAAGAGCTGACATTTTCTGAGCGATGCCTTAAATCTAATGAGGTGGAAAACCACTGAGTTGGTCCAGCTTATGGCCTGAAATCTGCCAAGCTCTTTTGAAAGCATTTTATTTTAATTCTTACTATTATAGCTTCTTTGAATGTTCATGATCTCCTTGTAGATGTCCAGTCTCTCTTACAATCCTGCTAAGCTTTGTCAATGTTATCACGTAGGAATGAATTCTACAGAATAACTGTATCTAGGTTGAAAAAGTACTTCCTGTTTGTAGTTTTAAATTTGCTGCTGGTTTCTGTGAGCATGGCATTCAAGAGTTTAATGGAAAAGCCAGCTGCAAAGTGAAAGTGCTGTTTTCTCTTTCTCATAAAGTCTGCATGTTCCTACCACATACAGAACAAACTGCTTTCTCTTTGAGCCACAGAACAAGAGCCGTCTCTGAACTAGTCAAAGACAGCTTCTGTGTAGCAGTTCCACAAACATTTGATAGTCAACATCAGCGCCACATGGGTATTTATTTCTAATAGCAAACGGCTGATCTGCTTTCTGTGGCATTGCTCTGTCATTAACCCTGCCTCTTTCTGATCTGATTGTATCTGATTCCATAATCAAACAGAGCCATTGACTATCCTACACCCTGCAACACAGAGTTGAAAACAGAAACCGTATTAAAGCGCGTTGTCTAAGAGGAAAATGAGTAAAGTGGCCAATACACTGGAGAGATGCTCACCTTTTATGCTACTTGCTGTATAACTGACCATGTGCTGATGCTACTGTAGCTAAAAGGAATTTCCTTTTTGTGCAAGTGGTAGTGCTCTGTGTTATGGAGTCTAATAGTCCCATGTCTTATATATGCAATATATTTGTTCACTGTACTTTGGGAACAATGCATAGATGCATTACATAGATCACTCTAGGAACCATAAGATGACCACAGAGATGACACAAGCAGTATTCTCTTTATATTCAAGCCATTTGATGCTTTATAGCTATGACCAATGCCTTTAAATGCCAATGAACATACAGTATGATCCTGTAGCCACAGTTCTTCATATTAAATGACCCTGTATCCACACACAGTGGTCACACTGTGTTCCCTTGGTTAAGAGGAATTAAAACCAGCCAAGAGTAAAAAACCTGTTGGAGGTTGTTTCTGGCGGGCGGGAGGGGGAGGAAGAGTTCCAGTTACCATCAGTTAAGCCAGTGGGGGTCAGCCTTTCAAGCAGGGGTAAATTAGCCCCACACTCTCTCTGAGTGCCACTCCTATCCCCTTCCTCTGCCGTACTAGCTACTCTGCTTTCTACTTCCTGCCCTGTGCTCCCTAGCCAATCTGCTGCTCTGCTTTCTGCTTCTTGCCGTATATGCTGCCTTGCTGCCTGGCCCCTCTCTGATCTAGTGTGTGCCACACACAAAGGCTGCCTGTACTGCTTGTGGCACTCATGTCACTAGTTGGCCACCCTGAGTTAAACCATCGTTAGGACTTGAAGAAATCAAATGCAACTCTGAATGAACAATTATAATCCTCTTACCTTGCCTGTAGACTCTGTTCCTCTTAGAATACATAGATAGACCATCAGCCAAGCCAGGATCAGGCACATGGCTTGCTCCCACTGGATACTCCCATTCTCCTCAATGGATGGTGAAATGTTTAGGGTTTTCCTGTACCAGAAATACTGAGTAGATGATGCCTTCTCACATTCTTCAATGTAACCAGTGTGATTGCTGTTCAGTGGACAAGCAGCCCATGGCAAGGGATTCTTTGGGAGTAAAACAAATGCAAACATTAAATGCAAGGTATGATATAAGGCTCCGATGAGGGCTTAGGGAAGAGAAAAAGCACCAGAGAAACTGACAGTATGAAACTGACAGGGACTTGCTGGGCTGCTGGTGTAAGGGGTCTCGGGACAGATCCTGCAGCTCTTTCTCCCCTATGGGGATTGCCACTGACCTCTTAACATCTAAGGAGTAGGCAACTCCCGGCACGCAAAGGCATTTTGCTTGACACAGGCACCTTGGGGTGGACGGCAGGGAAGAGGCCAGGGCTGCACTGCCACAACAAGGATTGGGCCCCTTGCAGCTCCCCTGCTAGCCGCTCCTGGCACACCAACATCTTACAAGCTGAGCTTGCGGGTGTTTTTGGCACTCTGACTAAAACATTGCTGACCCCTGAATGGGAAGAAGCCAACTGCATGCTGTGATTGTGCTCTTTTCTGTTCTTTCAATCGAGTCATACCACCAGTGGACTAAGTCATGGAAGCAAGGACTAAAGCAGTGGTCTCCAAACTTTTTTGATCACGCATCCCTATCAGTAAAAAATTTTTGAGCACACACCGCCAATATATGTATATTTATAGAAATAGAAATAGAAATAGAAGTTCTAATATTCTCTTCCCGTACCCCCTGGGGTGCACGCACCCCACTTTGGAGACCACTGGACTAAAGGACTGGACTCACTCTGTGCAAATCCCCATTAATGTTAATGTCTGTCAGTCTAGCTAAAACAACCCTTTTTTCTGAGCTAGTTTCTGCCCCTATACAATGATGACCTTATATTTTTCTTGTAGCACTATGAGGCATTTCAAAAACAAAGTGGGCTTTGACATGAATGATGTCTCAGTGCCAACAGCCTGTGGAAAAAAAAAGCTGACAAGCTGATGTCTAAGTTTAGGGTCATCAGGTTATAAAGATTTATTAAGAAACTCTGGCAATGAAACTTGACTCCTTAAAATTAATGCTGAGAGATAACTCATGATGGAAAGTTTTTATTTGCCTGTTGTTGAAAAAGATGTTAAACAAAGGTCTCAGAAAACAATATCCTCCTTTGAAAATATGGTTAGTTTAAAGGGTTTGGCTTCTAACAATCATTAACCAGTCAAGGCTTCTAAAGATAACAGAGGATGGCTGCCTGACTAGATCCAGAAGTCCCTATGTCTGTGGGTGACTCAAACAAATATCCTTTAGATGGGATCATTCAATAATGCTGATTCTTGGTTCACTGCACTGGTATTTCTTTGGTGGGACCATTTATGTCATCAGTATTTAAACTCCTGTTTGCCCACTGCAAATTCTCCCCTGATGCCCAGCAAGCTAACATGGTCTCTCAATTTCAACAACATTGGGTTTGCCCACTTTGGACGGAAAATGTGCTTTGTTATATATTGACCTATCATCAGAGTATGCTACCCACCTGGAATGAATGGAACAGGTACCAGAAGGCCCAGGCATTTATAACGTTATAGTACATGGAGAGGAAAAATGATACCACCACACTGGCAACACCTGAGAATGAGAAATGGCAAAGTCATTGAAATGGCAAACTGTCCAAACACCGGCCTGCAGAACTTAAGAAGGGCTCACTTCTTTGGTCATCACAGCTCTCTCCCAGAGGACCACTGTCTTCACAAGTTAAGCATAATCTAAAATGTTAGTAAAAGGGAAACGGCAGACTTTTGGCAGTCTGAAAGCCCAGTAGCCCATCTAGACAGAATCTAATTAAAAGCTAGAGAAAGTGGCAGTGCCTCAGGGAAAAGAGACCGTATTAAGCCATGGTTAGATGTTTGCTCTGCAAAAAAAAAGTAGTGTTCTAATGACAAGAGGACAAAAACGTGCCAGCCTAGACATCTGGCTGAAGTGGAGCAAAGGGTTAATAACATCTGCGCTCATTCGATTCCTCTTTTTTCACTCGGAACACTATTTACCCCATGAAACAGTTACCAGTGTTACGGGAGTGGAAGGAATGCCATTTGAGCCAATTCTGACAAGTCCTCTACTCTCTGTAAAGTAGGAAATTTTCTCAAAACATTTCAGTCTTTGCTAATGTCAAAGTTATACTTGTTTTAAGTTGTACTTGTTTTAGCAATGTTTGGAGCTCTAAGCCAGGAGAGTTTCTGGCTGCCATTTTCTATGATTCTATGATTAGTTTGAAAGTAATTATCTGACAGTCCTTAGCCCACTATATAACTTCACTATTATTTCTCTAATTAAGACATACACTCAGCTTTTAAAATCAGATCGTACATCATTTTCACTATTAGTAATATACATCAACAATATGCATTGGTAATACACTGTTGTGGAACCTTATTCATGGCAGGTTTAATGGTCATGATTTTACAAATACCAAAAGCAACTATCAGCCTACCTACATGAGGGCTCCTAGTATTGCTAACACAGTTTTAGAAAGGGAGGGAAACTTGGCTTATTCTAGAACGGGCTTCACTACTGGTAGCAGTTTGGGAGCTCCAACTCAAAGGAAATGCAACTGAGACTTCAATGGGAATCTGGTAGTACAGGTGCAGCACCTGGAATATTTCCTACCCCAGAATACATGTCATAGCTACACTATTTGTAAGACTGGTAGTTGTTGAGACCCTGGGTTACCATCTGTTGTACAGTTCTGTACTGCACAGACTTCTAAGAGCTATCAAGCAGAAGGAAAAGCTCTTCCTCCTACATCCAAATCCACCACGAGAAGTCCACTGATATGGCAGTGCCAAGTGACTTTATTTGATATCTGGGAAGACAGCCATCTCTTTCCTCCTCACATGCATTTGCTTATTCATCGTTTTACTGCACATGAAGCATTCCTGTCATTTAAATTGCTTCTTTCAAGGAAATAAAAGTGCTGGTTTTCAACTTTAGTGCCTCACGATGAAAAACCAAAGCATTTTTTTAGAAATTGGCAAGTCCCACTAAAGAGATTCCAGTACTTTAAATGAACTGGAGATAATTGGACCTATAAGGTAATTTAAGCTATTCTTATGTAGTTCCGTTTTATTGCCAGTTATTGGGTAATGACAGTAGTAAACTACTGCCTTGTTTTATTAATATGTAAAATTTGAGATTGAACTAGACAGATTGCTGACAGTGGGATTAAAGTGCATGTTCAGAAATCTGGATTATATTCTTGCCTTGGCCAGAAGCATTCTGGGCTAGATCTTCTTCCACCTAATGGGTTTCTAAGTGGCATTTCTTGAGGTACCTTAATGTTATCTTGCTCCATTCTCAAGCCCCTGAGATAGTAGATCAGCTTCTGCAACACATTATCAGCTTAGGCTTCAGCGCAAGTCACAAAAGACAGGAAAGAAGAGAAGAAGGATCCACCCATCTTTTGCAATAACAGTTTTTCAGGAACTCTAGCTGGCCGGGATAAGGTCCCATTTATCTGTGTAAGTACCACTTACACTTCTAATAGGTGGAATAGCATCTGACCCTCTGAGCTTCCCTCTGTAAAATGGAGACAATCCCTCTCTGGCATTAAGTCATTAATGATTGTAATGTACTTCTGACCCTCAGACAGAAGGCGGTATAGAGGTTGGGAGAAGTCATTTGCAGCTTTGCTATGCATCACCATCTTACAACCTGCGACAGTGACATGGAAGGAGGTGGTTGTAAAGTTGTATTCTGACAGGAACAAAGTGCAACAGGAAACAAAATACTCTTTCAGATATGACGGTTACTCTCAGTTCCTTGTAGATTGCTCTGTGACTGCTGTTTCCGGAAGGCCATGCCCTTGGTTCTAGTCCTGCCATAACCCACTGTGAGACACCAGACAAGTAATATGTATTAATGTACCATTTAGAAACCCTGGCTAGCAATATCTATCTACTTTGCAGGAGAGTTTTGAAACTTAATTATTTAATATTTGCAAATTATTTTTAGGTTTTCAATACCTCTAGGTGTTATATGTGGGCCAAAAATTCTAATAGCCGTGATCTATACTCTGAACAACACTACAGTTCATTGCAGGTGCTTTAACAGAACCCAGTTCCCTGGCAGAAAAAAGCAAATAACCATCTCTTTGAGTCAAAAATCTCATCTCCTTTTCCTGGTCAATGCATACTGCACATGCCCTCTAATAATCTCATAAATACCAACTTTTCTGCTCCAAAAAATTATCAGAATCACCAGTGTTCACCTGGGAGTTAAAAATAACCCTGTGTCTTGGCATGAATGAAAAACCTACCGACTCCACTGAGGTAGGGACTTATTGTTTTCCATGCGCCAATGCTCCCTTGACGCATATGCTGTCCTACTGCCAGCTCCAGGAATAACAAAGGCATCCCTTCCACAATTAACATGATGAGATAAGGAATTAAAAAGCCACCTGCAGGAGAGACAAAAGGTGTTTAACAAGCTGGAAGGATAAGCAGTATAATCCTGTTAAGAGTCAAAACAACAGTTTTAAAATTTCCAGTCTTCCTACTAACAATATGCCCACACATGTATTCACACCCATATGCACCTTTATATGCACATCCTGTTACCACTGCATGCACTTCTATGGACTTGTGCATACCTAGGTACAAACTTATTCCAGTAGTCAAAGTGAAAGGAACTGCTGGTGTTCATCAGCATGAGTTTTGACACATCTTCTGTCCCCAGGCATTACCTACATGGCAACTCTGAGGGCAGCTCTATTCCAGTTGAGATTACACAATTTAAAATGGCTGGATTAAGTCCTATCAACTGCAGCAGTGGCCTGAAGACTGCATCCATGATTGGCTTGACCAAATCCTAGAAGCATGATTGTCTCATAATGAGGTTATCTTAGCTTCACTTTATCCCCCAATTCATCTCAATGGTGATGCCAGTCAGCAGAAAGAGAAGAGGGTCCTAAAAGTGTAATGTATATGCCAACCATGAAAGAACAGCTGAGCTCCAGCTGTAGCTCTCTCTGTGCACAGCTGCCATCTGGAACTGCAACGCACACAGGTGTTCAGGTCAAGCAAGATGGTTACAACACAGCACTGCCGAGCCTTGGTCTATGGAATTTTTACTGACATTTGGCAATGCTGTGATTTCTTTTGTAAAAATTTCCTACTCTAGACCTGGTCAAAGGAGAGTGTCCAAGGAGTTTGTTTTGAGCAATGTACAAGACTAGAACTGTTAAAGGGTAACTAATTGTTGTCCAAGCTGTTAAAGCATAATGGAAGGGGGAAGACGGAAGGGGAAAGGTTTAATTCACATTCATTTTCCTTAACAGGACCACAATGTTCAGTATGGAAGGGAGTAAAGAAGAAACCTCAAAGGTCCTATCCAAGTTATAAGTACTAGGGCTGTGCAAAATGGCACCATTCCATTTCGACTTGCATTTCATTTAAACAGAACAGCATTTAGTTTCAAATTTCGATTCAAAACTGCTGTTCCATTTCGTTTCGTCAAAACAGTTGCATTGTTTCGCTGCTGTTTCAACATTTCACCCATAGGCTATAATGGGGAAGCTTGAAACAACCTATAACTTTGTCATTTCTGGCCTGATTTGGATGAAACTTGCAGAAATAGTAGCCCCTTCTGAGGGCATGAAGCTTGCCAAGTGTCCAGGAGATAGGTGTAGGGGTTTCAGGGAAACTGCACATCAAAGTCCTGAAAGCAAAAAAACTCATGTCATGTGTACGTGTTAAGCTACAGCAGGGTCAAAACTGCAGGCATGCCAGCCCCTTCTGAGGCAACAAAGCCTGCCAAGTTTCAAGGCAATAGGTGCGGGGGTTTGGGGAAACTGCACCTCAAGCTGCGGACAAGCCAAACTCGTGACATGGGTGCTTTGGGACTGTGTCTGTCTTGGGGCCGAGGGGGGTGAAAACTGCAGGCCTGCTAGGCCTTGCTGCAGCCATGAAGCCTGCCAGCTGTCAAGGAGATTAGTGCAGGGGGAGTCTGAGTTGTGGGGCCCTGCGCCTCTAGCTGCTGACAGGTAAAACTTGTGACATGGGTGCGTGACACTGTGTGTGTGTTAAGGTGCAGCCTCACTCAACTGACACCAAGGCAGAAAGCAGGGCAGTTCAAACCATGCTGCCTTCTTTGCAGTTTTTCCATCCCTTCGCCAGAGCACTGGGATTGGACGAGACCTCAGGGACGGAGGACAGTCACTGGCCAGCTACGCAGTCAATAATGAGAGCAGTCCTACCCCCCAGCCTGCTTTCCCTCCTCTTCCCCCTCCCTCTCCTTACTGTAGTTTCTGTTTCCCTGCAGGCAAGCCCAGCTTGAGCTTCGAAACTTGAAACATTTTGAAAATTTCAAAATGTTTCAACTTGCCTTGTTTCGTTTTGAGGCTGTTTTGAAGCTCTCCGTTTCATTTTGATTTTCCTGTTTCAAGCTCGAAACAAGTTGAAACAGCATTGAAATGAAACTGCCAGCGAAATTTTGCATAGCCCTAAGAAGTACGAAGGGGTTTCCTAGCTAGGTTGACACCTTAATCTGACCTGGTTAAACACCCACTCCCCCTTCCCACCCAAGGTAGTTCCTTAGCTGGTGTGAATTGGTATAACTCCTTCAAAGTGCATACATCAGCTGAGGATTTGTCCCCCAACTGAGCTGCACACACATTACAGCTCTTTTCCCCCTCATAATCCATCAGTAGCCTAAATTGCCAAATCCACACCTATCACAGCACCTTTTAGTGGTGCTGCCTTCTGAGGGTATCAAGGTGGCTATCCTCTAATGTCTTAGTAGAGGACAGACAGCCCAGAGAACGTGCATAAAGAGCAACACCCAACAGCGCATGGGAAAAATAGAGGGCAGGAGAACTGACTGAGCCACTCTGCGTGTGTGCGTGGGGGGGAAGGAGGTCCTGAGTACAAAGCAAAATAAAGTGAAGTGGCTTTTACTCCTGAAGTTAGCATACCATGTCTCTCCAAATGGGCATATTTTGTCGGATGGCAATAGATGAAGTAATTTCATAATACAAGTCATGAACAGCATTGAAAATTGAAGGAAGGCTCTTGGCATCACAGGTGGGGGCAGTGGAGATACAGCTCTGACAAGCATTTATCAGATTCTGATGGAGTTTTTTTCCTTGCTATCTCAGGGTATGTGTTAAATGAAAGCTGTAGGAAGAGCTCTGCAGTGGATAGCATACTGAATTTGGGAGTGGTGGAAGAAGTGAATTCTGGCAACAGGACTATTTTATGCTTTCTGGAGTAGTTTCCATGGAGGCCAGAAGGTATGGCTTTGATAGGCCATGGTATGGGGAACTATATAGGCATAATTTGTAGTCATTAAGCTTCATGATTTTGGCACAGTACTTGTGTGGAGGAACAGGTATCTTCACCTATTATCTTTAATGATATTTTTGATCTGGCCATTTGGATCCATGAGTTTGCTTCAGGTCCATTTCCAGCTAGAAGAGAGGAAGGGATTCTCAGGGTTTTTGCATCTCAGAAGCAATTTACTTCTCCTCTAGGTCACCTAGGCTTTGAGATACTATAGTAGTGTCATGTTATTCAGTGGGATGAATATGTCCCTGTAGGCTTTGAGGTGACACTGTTATGATATCCAATGGGATGAATATGTCAGTGTGGGAAATTACAGCATACATGTGAGTGAAGACCAGTCTGTGGCTGAATTCCTAATGCAAGTTACACATTTACCACTGCTAAAAACCTCTCTGCGGTTACTGTGGTCTGTAGCTATCTCTTAGGGTGTGTACACAAGTGCAGGCAGCCTGTTGAGGAGGCGCTCTAACTCATGGCACTTTACACAAAGCCTCATGAGTTAAAGCATCATTGAACACAACAGGTATTCCCCTGTTGGGGTGGGGGGTGAGGCTTGGAGCCTGCCTGCCTGCACTGGCCCTGGCCAGCAGCCCCGCACCCCACCCCTTGCCAGCTGGCAACTGTCAGCAGTGGTTGAGGGGGCAGAGGGAGGGATTCAACGCCCCTGCTATGCGTGCCCCCATCTACCCCAGGAGGGGTAGCCAGGCCAGACCGATGCAGCAGGGGGACTCCGTTTCCCTCCCTCCTGCCCCCCAGCTCCAGGTGTAGCAGCCACAACTGCTGCTGTCAAGAGCCTTGGGGGGAGGGGAAGAATGGAGCCCCCAGCTCCGTGGGTCTGGCCTAGCTATACCTGCTGGAGTGTTAGGGGGCACCAGGCTAGGCCTGCAAAGCAGGGGGCTCTATTTCCCCCCCAACCCCAGCTTCAGGTGTGGCAGCCTCTGATGCTGTCAAAATCCTTGCATGGGGCACGGGGTGAGGGAGGCTCCCTGCTGCAGAGGCCCAGTTCAGCTCCCTGCAAGACCCCAGAAGGGGTATCTGTTGCAGCGTGGGGGGGCACATGCAGCATGTGGGGGGCCTCCCCTCCCCTGGTGTGTAGGGAGGAGACTTGGTTTCCTCTCTGTGACAGCCCCACAAAATCACATGCGGGTGGACTCACTCAAAATTAACCCTTGCAGGGAACCTGTACACAAGTTCCCTAAGGCACTTCACCTTACAGCCCCCCTGTCTGATATTTCATCAAATGAGGGTTAAATTTTCATGCAACCGGCCAGTTTAAAAGCACTCTGCAGTCATGAATGTTTGTTACATTACAGCTGTACAGCACTTTCAGGGACTTCGCTGCAAAAAATGTAACTTCTGTAAGTGTCCCTAGTGACTACCATGCCTCCCCAGTGCATGCTGTCAACTCAACAGCTCCTAAGTCAAGAAGATGAAAGACTGAACAGAGAATGAAAAGAGGCCTTCCACTCCCTGGAATTGATAGCCACCATGAGCAAGCCACAGCAGAGGAGAAGAACTTCCTGGGTACACAGAGTTGGAGGAAAAGTCTATGGTCTTCCTCTAGCTTTATGTCTCTGGGATTTTCCTTTTTTTGTGTCATTTATGCTAAGAGAAAAGGAAGACATCTTATCCTCGTGAAAACTACGTTATTGGAATAATGATCCTATCTATTGAGGGCATTCTGAGCAAAGACAAACCATTTGCCGGAATTGGTTTAACAGAGTAAGACTCATTTGCTGAATCCCTTTTTACCAGCAGTCATGCATTGTGGGAACCAAATTCTCAGAGCTGCTGAGCACCCACAGCAGCCATTAAAGTTGATAAGAGATGCAAAAGGTCAGCCCCTTTGCCTTTTACCTCCTCAGCTGGAGATGAGCCAGCAGCAGGATGATGCCCATAGCTGTATGAGCTGCTCACCAGCAAAGTTCCAGCAACACATCTGAGAACCTAATCTGAGGAAAGAGAGGCACACACTACTGCCATGCTGAGATATGCCATGCTCACCCACCAGGGATCAGCATGGATCTGCCTTGTACCATGCAGACAGAATAGGTCTCTCCTGCCCACAGATCAAGAGAGAGACAGCCAGACCTTGTTCCTTTCATAGAGTGAAAGCGGGGAAGGAACGGTAAGATTCTCTCTCGTGGAAAGTCATTATTGTCAACACTGGTTCAACACTGCTGTGAGTACTTGAACCGGCAGGGTGTGACTGCGATTTTCTTTGGGAAAAAGCCCCTGCCTTTGACTTTGAGAGCGCTTCAGAAAGACCTGCTGACTAAATGAAAAAACAGATTTTGTGAAGCCTTTCCCAGATTCCCTTTTACAGCAAGCCAAAATATTTACGTAAACATCTGTTATTTGAAATTTAATCCCAAGTATTAACATTCCTTACAATGGGCTCTGCTCGGCACTGAAAATGAATGCAATCTACACAGTAACGGAGGCCAAAGGAGCCAAAGCGAATGCTGAGCAATAATCCGTTTTATACAGAGAATTAATTTTCTACCTCCTGGCCGTAGTGTTATTAACAACCCCTTTGTTTGTTAGTTGTTAGATAACTGCCCAGTTTGCAAAGGAGCTATCAGAGACCTTATGGATCTTGTACACTCAGTGGAGGCTGTCACGGGAGCTCTGCAGTAATGGCATCTGGATGGGTCCTTTGGCAAAATCCCTTTTTCACCATCCCCACTTCACTGTAATTGGAGCAGCAGTTTGCCATATTAAAACTCAATAAAATAATTAGGAGCTTGCATTCTGCTTCACTATTCTCTAGAGAAGATGCTCACTCAGGAATCCAGATCCGAAACTTTCTCAGCTTTGGTCATGCTTGGAATGGATCCAGACTTTGCAATCAGTCCCTCTCTTCGTAATGGACCCTAGGTCCAAACACCTCATGAACAGTTCATTTCCAGACTCAGATCCCAGCCAGATTTTCATCTGATGTCTGTGATGCTACCATCACATGAGCACTGGCCTCCTGTGTTTTGGGCCCTCTCTATTCTGCAGGAGTGTCACAATGTCCATGTTTACTATAAGCAGATTCCAGTGCATCTTTAACTTTATCTACGTAACTGCACATGTGTTATGGCCTGCATAAGTAAACTTTGAACACAGAGAGACTGGCAGAATTGAGACAGTTCCCATTACTGCATATTTAACACTTCTTAGTTTTGAACCATGGTCTTACTGTCTTTTTAAGTATTTGCCTCTTTTCAGAACTAATGATCTAGTCCAAGTGGTTCAAAATGCATTAGACTGTCACATAATGCTATTTTAGAAACACTTTTTCAATTCTTTAAAGTTAATAGGCAGTTTCACCTGGATGTTATTTTAAACACTGAAAAATAATAATGCCAGTCCTGAGAAATGACTGACCAACTCCTTATTCTTTGTGACTTAGTTCAGAAGGAGGGGAAGAAGTAGCAAATGAGTTAAGAGGAAAGATAACAGGTTTTAAAGTCTGTAAAGATTTTCTCTTTACTATTGTCAGTGATAAGAGCATTTAGATTGAATTCTGTTCAGAACAAGGACTGACTTTCCTTTTGTATATCATGGAGTTCCAAGCATGCGCTAGGTGCTGTATAACAATGCAGTATTTATTGGTCAGCTCTAGTTAGGTCCCTAGTACCATGCTGGAGTTTTTTGATTAAATGAAGGTACATATTTTATAGCCCTTTCTAGCTCATAAAGATTTACAATGGTAGAAACTGATAAGAGAAATTGAGCAAGGTAATTTTGTTCCAATAAAATACCTGATATTTGAGTTTAAGTGTCTTTTAGAACATCTCTGCAGAGACAGACTGTCTATACTGGAGAGCTGACTGCATATAGTTTGTAAGTGTATACAGAATGTACTATTAAAAAGTTAATATTCTGGCATTTATTTTCAGGCATGAAGACCTCACCCTTTGATGCATTTGCCTTTTTTTTAGAATCCAGTGGGAACTGCACATCACCTCACTAATATACTTCATTTTAGGTATGTAGACAGCCCCAACCACTGTAGTATCTACTGCTATGATGAGATTCGATGAAAAACCCACAGAAATAAATGAAGATTTCCACTGATCTTTGGGAGCTGTGGACCAAGCCTTGATGGCACATCAAAGCTAATCCATTTATAAATGGGTATTATGCAGTCACAGACATTATCAGCACACATTGACAGCTAGGTAAAAATGGGCTTCAAACTAAGGGCTAAAAAATATTAAAGATCTATACACATTTTTTTTTCTCCTGGGAAGAAAAAAAGGGTGAAAGAACTATAGGGGACAGATAGTATCACATCACTTAATGCATATGTGAGAGGGACACCGATGCCATAGTGACGGATGGAGCATAAGGATGTGAATAGAAGTAGACTGTTTTAGAAACCTTATGAGGGTTCTTTAAAGGTGGTCATTTCCACAAGGTAACTGCTTATTAGAAGTGGCTGTTACGGATTTTCTCTAGTTAACTTTCTAGATTTTTTTATTTATAAGGGTAAAAAAAAAAAAAAAAAGCATTGGGTGCCTCTGTGAATGGGTTCTTTGTATAGTTTGGAGAGGGTAAGAAAATTGCAAAGAGAAACCGTTTTGGGCCGAGACCAATTTAATCTACATTTTCAGCCCAAAGCCTCTTGTGAGGTTTTTCAGCTGTAGCGCTCCCGTTGACCAAATAGTTTCAGCCAGCTTCTAGGTAATTTTCAAGCCTAGATATAGCCTTTCTAATATGAGGATTTATATAGCAGAAATGCATTAATGATAGCAGCTTGACTATCTATTAGTAATCCCTTAATTAAATCAATGTAAATATCCGCGCTTTCTTTAGCTTTTTTTGAAATCCCACCTTTAAACCTATAAGGCAAATGCACTGGCTTCCAATACCCTAAAAACAATTCAGGAAGGGGTGGATGGGAGAAATCAGTCCCATGGAAACCTGTCCCCATTTAGAAAGTGTTGTTCTTCCTTCTGAAAGGAGTGATTTGGTATTAGGATAGCATCTTCAACATGACATTGAAGACCTGCTCATGTATTTAACATCTTTTGCCTCCCTAAAATAAAGCCCTTCCTTCAACTCCTCTTTGAGTATGGAAACCTGGTAGATGGGTACTGTGCTGTCATGGGCAATATGTTCTGGTTTAAAATTGTTTAACATGCTAGTGCTGCGCCCATTTGGGGGGAAATCAAGAAACAGAAACCACACTTACCTCCTCCGTACATCTGACATAAATACGGAAACCTCCAGACATTTCCCAGCCCCACTGCATAAGAAATGCAGGCGAAAACAAACTGTAAGGGATTGTCCCACAATGGTCGGGATTTCTCCATTTCATTTGCAGGCACAGATTTCAGTAGAGAGTTCCTGACTTCACTCCTTCAGTTTCTCTTCAAGCCCTGCCCAAGACTCAGCGCCAATCTGACTCGGGGGGGGAGTACACTTGCCAATTCCTATCAAGCTTTTTAATTACTAATCTTATTAACAGGCACATAGTGAAGTAGGAATGCTGGTAAATAGATTATAGCCACACACAAAGAGCTATAAAACGGGCACTTGGGGTGAATAGCTGCCCGGTTTTTGACTTGCATTTTTGGGAAGGATGTGAATGCAGGTTTGTTTGCTTGTTTTAAATTTGGCTACTGGCACAGTTAGGTTGCCTATGGCTGAGAAGACTTGGGAAGCTGGAAAATCCTTCTTACGTAAGGCTATACCCTGCAATGCATGTGTGATGTGCTTCTGGGAATACTTCCATCAAAGAGACAGTAAGCCATCTTGTGTTCAGTAATTCATGAGAGAAGTGTCCACACTGGCAGGATTTGGTTAACTCTCAGCTGCTGTCAGCTTCTGGTGTGGAATTGCACTGAAACCTACTGCAAGTGCCTGCCCTGGCATAGCTGAGCCTTCCCTCAGGCTTGGCGGCCTACGTGCAATAGGTGTGGTGGTCCTGAGGTGCACAGTTATCTGCACCATTGAAGGACTGAACTAGTAGGCCACTGCAGGGAAGCACAACACACCTACTTTGTATGCGCTGCACCCTGAATGGATGCAGTGTAGCCGTTCTTAATGGGGCACCAGGCATGGATCAGCAGACAGCCCTCTACTTCGGAGTGAGGGTGCAGCATGCACAGGCCAGGGCTGTGGTGTTTCCCCAGCACAGTCCTTCCATCATGTAGACCAACCCTCTACGGTAGCAGAGTCCTAGTCATAAAAGCTGCCTCTCACTTGCAGTCTCTACAAAGATCAGTATCAGTCAAATGGGCCCAGGTGTCTAAAGGTGGTCCTTTCAGGTCAGGACTGAGGTTTTTTGGGAGTGGCACCATGAGAAAGCTTGCATTACTGTACTAAGTGGTGTCCTTACACCTTGGCTAAAGAAAGGATTTATTTCAGTCTCCAAGTGTGTCACTAGCCCTAGGTGCTATAAACCATCCCCTCTCATACCCCAGATCTTAAACTCCTTAGACTTGGAAAGCAAAAGCTTACATCTACCACAAAGTGTGTTTAAAAACTCTGGTTCAGATCCTCAGCCTTGCCAAGGAGATCATTCTCAAAGGTTTATCTCAGCTGTAGGTACTGTGGATCTGGTGACTAGGATAGTTGTGCATTTATTTTATGTCCTTCTTTTCCACCAGTGCTGGTGAAAATAGCTATGCTTCTGCCTGACTAGATAACCACTGCTGAGGAGTGTATTCAAGTTAAATATTTCCTTAGGCATGCACATCACCCCACTCTATTGAGAGTTAATTTACTAATGGGTGCCAGGGGAAAGTCAGGGCCAAGCTAGTGAGTCTAATTGTAACGCACTGAACTGCCAAATCTTTTTGATTTCACCTGCTCTCTTATAAATGACCTGTGAAACACACTTTTAAAGATGCAGATACACATCTAAGCACTTCTAAAAAAATCTTACTAGGTGCCTGATGACCCACTGTGAATTAGGCACCTAATCCCAACCCCTGACAGGTATTTAGGCACCTGACTCCCATTGATTTCTGATAACAAAATACCACACATGCACACCGAAAGTTCAGGGACATGTCAACCCATTCTTTGCATTGTGATTTGTAGAGGGCAAAAAAGTGCAAACATCACAGCCTCAAAGATGGAGTGACTTTGGTCAAATGGGAGGGAAGGGGTCACAGCTTCTTTAAGGGTCCCCCTTAAGAAGTAGCCTTAGCTTTCCAATTTTTTTGTAAATACAAGATTGTAATTGACAGTCCAAATAACTCAGGACATGGGAAGGAATTTTTAAAGCCACCTTTGTATATTTAAAGATGGTTATCAAAGTCCCTCATCAGTCTTCTCCTTTCCAGACTGAATAACCCCAGTTCTTCTAACCCTTCCCTGGAAGTCACATTTTCCAGACCTGTAAACATCTTTGATGCTCTCCACTGGCCTTTTTCCAATTTTATCTTCCAACAGCACTTTTTTTTTTTTTTTTTTACTTAACTGGAGGAGCTGAATTAGCCCTCTCCATGATAGAATATAAGAACAATGGTTATCCCTATATCTACTGAAGAAATGCTAAATTCTGAAGCATCCAATTTTTCATTTGTAGCTGTTTTAATTAGTGAATGACTACCAAGAATTTTATATTTCTCCCCCCAAATCCTTTGTGTAAGCCATTCATTGCCTTGTGCTGTGGCTGTAAACAGATAATCACTTAGCGATTCCTTGTTAAATAAAACCCAAGCCCCCCACCCAAAAGCCTGGGAGAACTAGTTTAATTTACCTGGCTGTCCTTGAGGAATAGTAAGTCCCTGCTTCAGAGAGCCATGATTCAGAGGCCTGCAGAGGAGGGCTACAATGGAGGAGAGAAAGAGGAAATATCAGATAGTATTGGTAAAGGCGGATTAATAAAACTAGATTAGGTAAGATGTCCACTGCTGAGTGCCACAACAGGAAAACCCTTCTGAGAGAGTAGCTAATGAAGTTGTGAATTAATATTCTCCCTTATTCTCTACTCACTGTTTCTCATCCTGGGTTGGAGGCATCTCAATTTTATACAGGTTAGTCAGTCTCTCTCTCTTTCTTTCTCAATGGATAATGCTCTGGTGTGGCTCTGTCACCTGTTCTAGATGGCATTTTAGTTTGGGAGCTGGAGGCCGAGTAGGTCTTCAAATGCTAACCAGGACATCAGACACACACATTTTCTTCAGTGCTTTAGGAGTAGGCTAGAGGAAGGTCTGCAGGGAAAACTCAAGTTGTAGCCAAATTAGGGCAGACATTTTAGGCTGATGTGGTTGCTGTGTGGTTGTCTCTTAGCAGTACAGCTACTGCTCGGTGGGCAAGTTCTCTGCTCAGAGCACATGAGAACTCTTCCAACTTTTCAAGAACTTTTCAAGTAGTAGTTTTTGCCTGCTTATACATCAGACTATTGGCCTGTTTCATTACTTAGAGCATGGACATGTTAATACTGCTGGAATTTCCATGGGTTTTTTATAGCAAAGTAAATGACACCAGTGGCACTGGCAGGAGCAAGCAACCAACCATCTGTAGGTAGTTTTCTTTTGTAAAGTCATTTACAGCACTTGAACATTAGATGGCAGGGGAGCCAGTCATAGTTTGCATTTGGTAAAGGGCTACCCTACAAAAAAGTGACCAGGGTTCTGGACATACCTTTGTGCTGCTGGGTAGTTACTTCTGATGTTCTGGGAGAGAAATTTTACACAACACTGATTAACATGCACTGTTGTAGGGCTATGTATCATGTGTCCATTACACTGCTATGCTGATGTAAAGGCAAGTTACACTGTCTTGTCTCTGGACCCTTATATTCTATAAAGATGCTTTTTGTCTAGAAGGCCTGCCTCTTCCCAAATGCAATAGCAATAGGATCATTCACACCCACTGTCTGGTGCAGTAAGAATCATTGCAGTGTCTGGTTTCACTTGAAAGCCAATAGTAGTTTTTTATAACAGAAGAGACCTATAGAGGAATCGTTTTGAAACTGTTATCTGGTATCTTGGGATATAATGTGGAAGATCACTGTGGAGAAACCAAATGATATGGGATATAACTTAATCCAGCAGTCCTTATTCATGTGAGTAATTCTGAATATTTGCAGTGCGTGAGATGGTGACCAGGTCTCTTGTTATGCAATTTGATGTCTGTTATTATTTATAAGAGAAAAACAGACTGCGAAGAATTTCCGGAACCCTGAGAATATTGTGACCCTTTAAGACATTAGCATGCAGCACAACACCCTAGTCCATTAATGACTAGCGCCTGACCTCAGAGCATAGCCTGCTGTGTTCCTCTTTGTTGGTTCTGTCATATTTAATACAGGTGAAGCTAGGCTGCTTAAATTTCCCTTCCAAAGAAACATGCTTCATTTCACAAGCATAATATGAACCCGAGAGAGATTCGATTCCCATAGATCAGTACAATTCAAAGCAAAAACAAATATAACTTTATTGGAATGTACAGTAAGTTGCTAGATCGTACATTAAGTATTAAAAACACAAAAGAACAGGCAAAAAAATCTTTAAAAAAATGTTGTTTCATTAGTCATGTGGTCAAAGACGGCCCTATGGAAAATGGTGTCCTGGGGGAACTTGTATTTTGGTGTCCCTGGCACCTTACCCACCCCCTGGTGCCCTCCAAGTCATTGTCACTCTGTGTGGGCAGGGGAATTGGGGGGCATGTATGGAGAGCAGCCACTGCTGCCAGCCTGGGGCTTTTTATGCTGCTGCCCCAGCTAGCTAGCTCCAATCAGGTCTGGGCACAGCTGGACAGGGGTGGGCTTCATTGCTCAGCTCCCAAAATTAGTTGCCACCGACTGCTGCCCAGCATAAGCAATGGGGCAGGGATGTGGATGTAGATTCATAGATTAAGGGTCGGAAGGGACCTAGTAGATCTTCTAGCCCGACCCCCCCGCCAGGGCGGGAGAACAACAAAAAAACCCCAAAAAGAGAAACGGGACTCAAATGAGTCCAGTCAGGTAGGCATCCAGCCTCTTCTTAAAGACCCCCAGCGGAGGGGCCAGCACCACTTCCCTTGGAAGTTGGTTCCAGCTCCTAGCCACCCTGACTGTGAAGTAGTTCTTGCAGATGTCCAATCTATACCTCCTCTCCATCACCTTGTGCCCATTGCTCCTTGTTATGCCAGCGGGCGCTAGGGGAAACAGCGTCTCCCCCAAACCCTTCTGGTCCCCCCTAGTGAGTCTATAGACTGTCACCAGGTCCCCCCTCAGCCTTCTCTTATGGAGGCTGAATAGGTTCAGGTCCTGCAGTCTCTCACTGTAGGGTCTGCCCTGTTGTCCCCGGATCATGCGGGTGGCCCTCCTCTGGACCCTCTCCATGTTGTCCACATCCCTCTTGAAATGGGGCGCACAGAACTGGACACAATACTCCAGCTGTGGCCTGACCAGCGTCGCGTAGAGGGGGAGGATCACCTCCTTG